GATGTTGTTCATGGGAGTGATTACTTGAAATTTCCTCTGTTGGTAGGTGTATTGTGTATGCTTCCTTCGGTGTATATGTAGTAGAACCAAACAAAAACCTCAAACTTTTAATGCATTTATTTTTAAACGCTTTGCGTACTAACTGAAAATATCGTAATTTTGAATCCACTCGCCATTTTAGAAATTTATATAAAGTTACCTCTTTCATTGCACTTATTGAAGAGTTGGTCTTTGTAGCATTTTCCTTTTGGCGTCGCAAGAACTCTGTGGTAGATGTGACGTTTTCTTCACTCAATTCATTTTCTTCTTCTGACCATTTCCAAACATAATAACGGTATGTTTTGTAAACTAGTGGGATTTGATGTCTTTGAAACAACAATGACTCCAAAATTGCATTTACAATGTCAGCTAAAGCGCCCGTCGTCAATACATCTACTTCAACATTCAAGTTCAAATGTTTGCAATGCATTGTCAGAACTACCAGTATTACACTTGGTTAAGATCTTATAAACTATAATTTGCCGAAAAACGTTTTTAATGTTTTAATGTCTTTAACCTAACTAATCCTCTGCTGGACTACGGAAGAAAAATTTGTTTAAAACACTGACACTTTTAATTTAAGAAAAACTCCTGTACTCCGCATCACTTAAGCTTTTATCTTCATAGTATTGTCAAGTTGAATTCTTAAAATATAGTTGGTCCGCTACCAATACTTAAAAACAACCTAAAGAACGACGAAGATAGTTAATTTTTATTATGACCTTTTTTATTCAAATGACTTACCTGTTATTAACAAAACAGAAGAAGGTAAAGACGACATATTTTTTTTTCTTAACACAATATTGAAAATAATATTTTTCCAAATTAATTCTTAACCAATATGAAATTATTTATTACTGCATTGTCAAGGTGCCGGTAATTTGCGCATGGCAACATTGCAATGTTTAGTACAATGAATCAAAAAACATTCCCAACGACTAAATAGTCAGTAAATATTCATTAAATAGTTAACTACGAGAAATGTCGGAAAAACCTAGCGTCTTGGTACTTGGAGGTAAATTACGTTTTATAATAAATAAAAACTGTAATATTTCACATATACATGATAAAGTGTTAAAAGTTTGAAAAAAAAATTGAATTAAAAAGAGGGAGTGCATCATTAGAATCATTTCGCGTTTAAACAAAGCCTCTGTTTATAAAGTGCTGGACTTGTTGGCCTAACCCATATGAACTCAACATATCAGGCGTTCTTTGGAGTTGTGTGCATTTCATCTTGTTATCATAATACTAATTTTTGTTGAGAATTTGTTACTTTTTTTTTTTTTAGCTTGAGTGGAATACTGATAATGCATAAGTTTTTTATATTTGTTTCTTCGTTGCACTGCTTGATATTTAGGTTGCGGATTTATCGGGCGCAACTTGATTACATATTTGGTGGAGAATGATTTGTCACAGCAAATACGTGTTATTGATAAAACCCCGCCACAAATGGCTTGGTTGAATGCTAAGCAAATGAAGGCTTTCGAGAGCGAAAAAGTAGAGTTTTGCAGTGCAAACCTAATAAATCTCAGTAAGTGGGCTGTAATGTATTTTGCTGAGAGCTTTTTCCTTTTTGTTTTTTTTTAACATGTTTCGCATCTATAAATAGATTCCTGTAAAAATGCTTTGCGCCACACCCTGCTACAGACCGTAATTGGGATTTGATAATTAACTGCGCAGCCGAGACTCGTCCAAATCAAACGGACGCTGTTTACAAGGAAGGTATACTTAAGCTGAGCATTAATTGTGCAAATGAGGCATCCCATATAAAAGCGAAACGTTTCGTGGAACTGAGTTCGGGATGTGTCAACAGTTCAGAAAAGATACCTTTAAAGGAAGATTGTAAACATGAACCTTGGACAGCTGTAGCCAAACAAAAGCTGAAAGTAGAAAAAGAACTGGATGCAATGGAAGATTTAAGTTTCACGGTCGTTCGTCTCCCGGTAACTTTCGGCATCGGCGATAAACGCTATTTAAGTAAGTCGAACTTCTGACTGATTTCGATTCTTTTAAACACAAAAGTAACTTTTAACATAAAACGGATTCCAAACCTGCTCTAGTGCCCAGAATATTAATTGCGGCTATTTACAAATATTTAAACGAAACTATGAAATTGCTGTGGAATGATTCCATGCGCTTGTCTACCGTTCATGTTGACGACGTGTGTGCTGCTATTTGGCAATTAGCGTCAAGTCCGAAAGCTCATCGTCAAATTTACAACGTAGCAGATGACGGCGAATCTACACAGGGGTCGATAAGTGATATATTAGCCGATATATTTTCTATAAATATAGATTATTTCGGCATAGTTATGTCTAACCTGACAAAGGTGCAATTAATTTACATTGAATTCGCAAAGTATTTGTCTTAACCTATTAACTTCTCCCTATAGCTAAGTCTTTCTGATACGGTAAGCGAAATTAATGACAAACATATGGCTCCCTGGGCTGATATTTGCCAGCAAAATGGTATAAATAATACTCCTTTAACTCCATATTTGGATGAAGAACAACTCTACCATAAGCATTTAAATTTGGACAATAGTAAATTGAAGGAGTTTGGCTATCAACTTAAACATCCCAAACTGTCACGAGATCTTGTCAAGGCTATTGTTGACGATTATGTTGAACAAAAATTATTTCCGAAGTCGTTAGCGTTGTAAAGGGAGCAAAACGCGTATTATCTTTTCGGTGGTTAATGAATACCGCATGTGCTGTGTTAATTAATAGACTGCAGCCCCGTCCCATAATTTGTATCTTTTTACTATTCCTTTACTTTTTGTGAAAATTTCAGGTACATTTATATATTTTTATATACCTGCCTTTCCCTTAAGTGTACTTATAGTATTATCAATTTGAAGCCATATTAATCGTGTTTACTGATCTATATGTTAAAGTTTACCAATTATCATGTTTTTTCTCAAGGGATAAGTTTTTCCATGAGTGGATGAGTTATATTTAAAAAGAATTATCAAAAATTACTTTTTATACTAATAATTATTAATCAGAGAGAGGTGAAATTGTAATATTAGTGCCAAAATAAAAGAAATCTTTTTCTTCTCCGGGAAATATTTTAAATGTGCCTTTGCTTTTATAAATTCTATTGAGATGTTTCATCAGACACACCGTAGCCAATAGTGGTATATAGTAGGGAATCTATTCTAGGTAATCAGGTCCACCTGTATATCGCTCCCTCCCTTTGGGAGTTAATAATGGAAACTGTCCTCCTGATTGTCTTTTATTTGTTTTTTTTTTTTATAACCAATTTAATGTTTTCTAATATTTTCTTTTTACGAATCAAATAAAACAATTATTATTTGCTTTACTATTTTTATAACTCTTTGTTTTATCGTTTTTGTTTTTCTTTAAAGGGTTATCTTGTTTTTATTATTTTCATTGGTTTTTCTTTACCAATATTGTTACTATATTCCATAATTAAATGTTAATTGTATCCGTTAAGTAATATCATCATTAACATGTATATACATATATGCATATACGTGTATATACTTTAAAATGCATTAATTTTTTGCTCTTGGACTCACTTTTGCTTAACTTAAACGCACTTGAAAACAGCAACAATATTGTGTGTATGTGTTTGTGTGCATATAGCACATTTGTTTTTGTAATTTCTTTTAAATAAATGTACTAAATACATAATGTACATAATGTACAGATTGCATAAAAGAAATCAAAAATAAGTTACATCGAGAAAAAAACGAAAATGAATACATAAAAAATTTAAGAAAGAAAATGAAAATTCAATATACTTTTCATAAAATAGCAAAAAAAAATAAAGTAAATAGTTGATAAGTTTAGGAAATGTTAACTTCTTGAGAGGTGCAAGTTTAAATTCACTCTAACATGGCTTTCTCTTAAGTGCTTCGAATTTAAATTTTTCTTTTTTTTTTGTTTTAATTGTTCACTTTTTCTTATTTATATATATGCTATTAAGGGGAATTTTTCTTCTTTTCAATTCTTAGAAACTTTAGGTTATTTTAAAAAAGTTTTTTTAAAGTTAAAATTGGCTAAGAGAAACTGAATAAGGAAATGGTTGGCATATGTATCATATCATCATATATGTGGGGGTTGATTGTTAAAGATTGTGGTAAAACAAAAAGCAAAAAAAAAAAAAAACAGCTTAAAAAGCTAAGCCGGCATCACGGTAGGTCGTAAAGATCTTTTCAATCGAGTTTACATAAGCAGCTGTTCTCAAATCAAGACCCAAATTATATTTCATGGCGGTCTTCATAATGGCACGGGCCGAACGCTCCATAGTATAATCTAAACCAGAATGAACAATGTCCTTCTCAGAAGCACCAGAAATACGCTTTTGAAATGATTCGGATGGTGTAACTGGTATACGGCCGCCAACACGACCAAAACGTCTTTCCAAAGACTCTTGCACAGATTCTAAATACCAAACAAAGGAGAGTAAAGAATAAAGAAAGAAATCATTTATTACTTCATTATAGAAATGTAAAAGTCCTGGTGTACGCAAATCGAAAATAGCAAATAACCATTACTTATCAACAAACAAATAAGAAAGATATATTCGCGTTGAGTTGGACTCCTAATGCATGATTATCATGAATACAATTCTTGGGTAACTTTCGTGGAGCCTCGGCAAATGATGAAGTGTATGAGATGAATTATGCCTCTGGCTCTTTATTCGCCGTCTACTACGATGCCCCTAGAACAATATATTTCAGATTTTTCGAATGTTTTTGTCGGGCTTTTAACATTCAAAGCAAGTGCACCCAAGTCGTCTGTCTGAGGAATTTTTTTAAACTTTAAAAGTAAACTGGATTTAATCACTGCCATAAGGCGTCGTGCATCACTTGAAAGATATAGAGAGAAGAAAAGCTTATGGCGTATTATATATTTTCGTCTATAGTTACGAATTATTAGCACTAGCAAACTGCCAACTGACATTTAGATACCAGTATTACGAGAAATGTTCTCGATCAGTCCCGCCGACACACCCACATTAGCTGAAAATTTATTAAAAATTATCATATTTTTGGTGATGATTAAGACTATGGCAATGCAAAAGATAAAAATGAAATGTCGACAATTTTTACATACTTTTTTCAGCGGTGCTTGAAGAGGATGTCCAACATTTTTCCAAAGACGACGAGTATACCTTTCTTAAATGTTTCCACTTTGTATTGTTCATTCAGACAAAAAGAATTAAATCAACAACGTATATGTGTGCAAATTGAAAGCAAGACTTAACAATAGAATTAACAAAAAGGAGGCAATGCATCCTATGAAAACCATACAGCAAGTGTTTGAACAAATGAAGTAAAAACGGATCAGATTTTATTTGGATATATAGTGACGTTTAAACACAAAAGCAGAGAGGTTTGCAATTCATACTTAATTTGAATTGTAAGGATATGAGGGATAAAATGACAAAACAAGAATAAGAATAAATTTAAAAAAAAAAAAACAAATTAATTTTGAAAGGAATCAAACAAAAAAAAAAAAAAATGGCTTTCTTTTCGAGGATATATCAAATAAATTTTGAAAATAAGAAATTAATACAAAACAAATATAAAATAAGTTGTAAACTGTACCGTCCAAAATAAACCTTTCAATTGACTGTTGGACAGAAGCTAAATTGATTTAGGAAGAAAATAGAAGAACGTAAGAGAAAAAAATTAAGAAATTACTGCGGCTAGCTTTTATACAAAACGTAAACATAATTAAATGCAAAAATTTGAAAAAAGTTTACATGTGTTTATATGGGAAAGGGTACGAGAGTCGGCTGGTTTATATGTATTTGTGTTTTTCTAATTGCAATTTTTAAGAAATTAAAAATAAAATAAATGAAAAAACAAAAAAGAGACCAAAATTATAATTGAAAAGTTAAGCAAATTATAGACAATTCTAAAGAAGGTAATTAATTATTAAAATCACTTACCTAGCAAGTGATAATTGGATTCACGTTCATATTTGAAGGTTAAACGGCCGTAAGACACATGATTCAAATTCTTCAACCATTCAAAGAATGAAACGGTGACACCACCAGCGTTAATATATAAATCAGGGATAACTAAAATATTACGTTCAATTAGAATTTTATCGGCAGCAGGTGTAGTTGGACCATTGGCAGCTTCACCGATGATCTTTTCATAAATAAATCGTTTATTGAAAATTGAATTAATTATTGCAAAGACATGCGACAACGACAAACGAAACAAACCTTGGCTTGGATTTTATGAGCATTTTCATTAGTGATAACTTTTTCAACGGCAGCAGGAATGAAAATGTCACAGGGTTCGAACATTAGGTTTTCCCCTTCGTAAGGCTTAGCGTTTGGATAGCCAACGATAGTACCGTGTTCGTTTTTCCAATCTTCTAAAAGCTGTACAAGCAATATGCGGGAATATTAATGTTGTTATTGAAAATTTTGTTTGATTTCCTCATCTTACCTTAGGATCAATACCCTCTTGACTATAAATTGAACCATCGTGCTCAATAATACCAACGCAAGTCGCACCGGCTCGGGTCAAATAGCGGCAAGTATGAAGACCGACATTACCAAAACCTTGGACAATAAATGTCTTACCACCCCAGCCAGGTGTAGTTCCAATCATGCTCATGTAATTGGCCTCATTGATAAAGTTTTCCAGACCGTGAAATACACCGCGACCGGTGGCGGATACACGACCGTGAATGCCGCCCTGATTGATGGGCTTGCCCGTAACGCAAGCATGAGCGTTGATGTCTAGATGGCCAATTGTTTTCGCATATGTATCAGCAATCCAGGACATTTCACGTTCACCGGTACCCATATCGGGAGCAGGTACATCAACGCCGGGTCCAATGAAACCTTTCTTAGCCAATTCAAGTGTAAAGCGGCGCGTAATTTTTTCCAATTCATGTTCAGAATATTGTTTTGGATTGATTTTCAAACCGGCTTTCGCACCACCAAAAGGCACATCAACGCAGGCACACTTAAACGTCATCAAAGCTGACAAGGCTTTAACTTCATCACGCGATACATCCAAAGAGAAGCGAATACCTAAAACAATGGGAGAAAAAAAAGAGGAAAAATCATAGCAACAAGTTAATTGCATATACATATGTCTCTCATTCAACAAATTACTGTTGTCCATAAGTGCATTTGGATTGGTTTGCTTTGAAAATATTTGCATGCAATGCAGAATAGTATGTGACACCTGTACATCTAAGACTATCTAAGACTTTTAGTCTTAAAACATTCACCTAATACTTAACACATATACAAGCTAACAAGCTTTTAGGCTTCTATCGCTACAAAAATACTTCAACGGATATTTCTATTAGGTCTCGAGTGTAAAGATTAGCAATTTACAGCCTAACGTGCCTAGGCGAAGAATTGTTTGAGATAGAGGAAAGTCAAGACGTCCTTATTTCGGCTCAATGAAAACGCATTCTTATCTTTTAATGCCGTTTATAATGAAATCCCTAGTGTCGTAAATGCCGGATAAAATTTATTGGCAACGAGTTTGTTGAATATCTTAACATTTCAATGCCAGCGGACTCGATCCACTGGCGCATTTCTACATGTGACTGCATTTCTATTTGTGTTTTATCAAAATCGAAACACAAATGAGGCCTTATCGAAAACTACTGAACACGTTTCCGTAATCATCAAGCAGCACATTACGCGACGACGAGAACATGTGATATGCAAAACAATAAAAAAAAATAAAATATAAAAAAAAAAAAATAAAAACAAAAAAAACCATTTAGACACAAACCAAAAAATAAATAAAAAATGAAGTAAAACGAAAAATTAATTAAACTAAAACAAAAACATTGAAATAATGTAAAGGTAATTATTATTTAATTGCCTTGATTACACGGGCGGGCAGCGAAAAAAGATGGAGACCGACATTTACGGTACTACTTAAGTCTATCTCTTTTATTTGCCTTATTTTGTGTTGCGATTAGATAGAGATGTAGTTTTATACAACTTTGTAGATACGGTCCGTTACGTAGCCGGTAAGCGATTTAATAAGATTTCACCTTCGCAGCTTTATCGGTGCATGTGAACGCTTGTCATTACGTTAGTGTTACATAACAATATAATATTGATATTATGATTGTATGCAGCAAAGAGGTAAGGAAGTAATTAATATAGTTGTTCAGCGAACTGATGGATATATAGAAAGACACGGTTAACTCTTTGCTCTTTTTTTAACCTACCACCAACTCCTTAATTAATTTGCAAAAAGCAATTATTCGGAATGAAGATTATATAATGTCGGGTCTAGCAAGATTATTAGACACGTACACACCTACCGCGTTGAAAATGTTGCCAAGTTTCCCTAGTCCAAAGATCGGAAGGCTTCGCTGCGACGTGTATTGCCGCTAGAAGAGAGCTTCTCAACCGGAACTTTGGCCTTCGATTTGAGTTTCTAAGCCTCGACATAGCAGTGGAAGTGAGAATACAACGTCGGCATAAAATGAAAATAGGACTGGAAAGGTTACGGCAATCGAGTTACTCAAATATCTTCTCACAACAGTTCCGATCAATTTTTCCTCTCTTCACAAAGATTCACATAATACACACTCTGCACTCTGATTTCGAATGCAGCTACCGAGGAAGAATGGAAAAAAAACACCGATTGGCGAACTTGTATCGTAACCTTATGCAAATTTATATAAATAATTTTTGCTTTTTGTGCAACTTTTTCTCTTTCAATTCTAAAATTTTTTTATCTTCTTTCTCTTTGCTATTAAGCTGTGACTTTGATTTCATAACACACTTTCTATTTGAGTCAAATGGCTTCGTAGACGCTTGAGAGAAGCCAAGAAGAGAACCGTCAACTGCGAAGCGCTTTCATTTTCTTAACTCATAACTTTATATGCACCTCACCTTCCTCACCTTAGGGTGACATAAGCTGAAAAGAAAGCAAGTTTTTTTGGGGCAGGTAAACAAACGGAAATTTTCCTTTGTCCAGGCAAAAATCTTTCCCATGCCCTCAAGTGTTAAACGACTGAATATGAGCCTAGTCGTAAATCAAATGCCCGTCTGCTTAATCATCAGCTATTTGATACACCGTACCGGGTATCTAATGAAGCGACAATTTCGTGCTCCCAATAATAACATATTGCATCATTTTGATAAAATTCTCAAATGAATAGAGTAAGTTTATGAGATCATCGTATCGTAAAACAACTAAAAACAACTAAAAACCATACACGTCTCGGAAAGAAAGATACCGACCCTAAACACTCTCTTTACGGGATATGCAAAATTTGGGAGTGTTAGTGTAGATGAGAAGAGAAAGATTTTCTCTTAATTAGTCCTAAGTAAGATAAACACTCGCTGTAAGGACGAGTTGCAAATTGAGGGGTGGGAGCATGAACAGCTTCAATCATCAGCCTTCTATTCCAATCCTTTTCGAATCCACTCAGCTTTGCACGACCATCAAGCATGCGTATGCTATCAACGAAAGTTAGAATCAAGAGCTTCTGAAAGTCTAGACGCGCGGCAAACCCGCTGCTGCAAGTGCCACGCATGAGCTGATTGAAACGATGAGAGATAGCTCGGAAGAATGATTTCTCATTTGTCGACTTTTTTTTTTACCTTTCCATTAATTATACTGTGGGTATTATTTACAAGTATTTATAAAATCGCATAGAAAACCGACAAACAGGAATGGACAGACTTCACTTAATCAAAGCGTCTGGTATTATTCAGTGCTCTACAGGCGGAATAATATAATCAGTTTCCGCTCCATTGCCGGGCATAAAAATGTCTATAGAAAATAGAAAAATTTTTCGTATGATCTCATAATTTACTTAGCGAAAAGTTATAAAAGCGTTTATTGTCGGCTAAGTGTTGATTTATTTATGACATAATAAGAGTGAGGAACGGCGTCAAGTCGCCCGCTGTTATCACGGCATATAAGCGATAGTCGACGATATATAATCACATTACTCAGCTTAACGATAAAGTGCCATCATGGGGCAGATAAAGAATAATTTTAATTTAACTTTATAGAGTAAAGAAATATTAGTTGTATGTATGAAAATAAAATTTGTTTTACATTCAAGGTACGAAAATTTGAAAATGTTGTCGTCTGCCTTGGCGAGAGATCATTGCTTAACTAAAGCAAGCAAGCAGATGATGTCGAGACAAAAGACATCAAAAAAGGGGTTGGACCGAATGAAATACATGTTGTTGGCTTTAGGGAGAATAAAAGCGATTTACGCTGTAGGTTGTCAGGTGACTTGACAGTATCAACAAAATCTGTAATTTTTGATAAGGATGCCACATAACATTAGTATAAATAATATGTACATGCACATATGTGGGATATGAACAAACACAAGGAAGCGTGACAAATTGATAAGTGAATTTATTGCATTTGGTTTGTGAATGCATTGTGCAATGCATTTCACTTTGGGAATAAACCGGTTCAAAGTATTCGTTTTCAGTCTAATATTCAAGTATGTGTGTCGAATATTTCTTCCCTTATCATCTATGATCTCGACGAAATCATTCAAAGTGCAACAAAAAGATGTTCATGTTCATATGTAGGCTTCAGCTGCATTATTATTTTAGGTTTCAGGTCCACGGATAGGCGTAGTAGAAATATCTTTTGGTGTAAATATCTTTATGTACTTTCAAATGAGAATTGCAAAGAGGGAACTGATATGTTCGCTACGCCGAAATGAGATTGTCAGTCAAACAAAATACGCAAACGAGACTTACACACGTGACTTATAGAGACAAATTTTACAATAATGATAAGACAATAAAACAAAATTTCTAAACCGGCTGTTTCTCGAACTCAACGTACAATATTATATTCACTTTTGTCGCTGAAAATTCTTTGATTTTAATTCGAAGGTATACTGGAGTACATATCACCTCAAAGAGGAAGTGTACTGTACGATAGGATCACGCGTGCGCTTTATATACATATACGCATGCGTTTTCGGAAGGGAAGGGCAAGTCTAGTCAGTCTTACATGGTTTTGTAAAAAAAATTTAGGTCGAGCAGAAAGAACTCTCAACTAAGATAAGAAGCCAGAAATACGTTAGTGCCATCTCGAGTCAGGGCGCGTACGCCTATGTGGTTTGCGAGACGCATTTCTAAATCGGACAAAGAGTATGATAAAGTGTGCATATCTTCATCCTTTCCATGTAAGGAATATAGATATTTTTTTTGCGCATCAATTTCCGGACTACAGCGTCATTATTATTTTTTATTAGACAGACAACAAATTCGCACAAAAAGTTATTTTATCAATAGATGTTTGGTATTTGTTTGTAAAAGCAATATGTATTCTCTGCGGAAAGCTATTACATATGATATATAATATGCGATAAAAAATTAATGAGTGATATGCAAAGCCAGCAATAAAAAACACAATGAACCAACTCAATTCACGCAAGCTGTGTGTCAGCCCGATTGGAATGATGTTCACATTAACACGATCGCTTAATTTGGTCTCCAAGCTTTTATATCAACAATGGTTTTAATTTGAATGTTAGTGATGTCGTGATGTGCCTGATACTGTGAAAATAATATATGAAATATTCTCAAAGGAAGAGCAGATCTTCTAGGGCGCGTCGTGTATATCTTTCTAGGCTTGATAAGAAAAGACCGAAACATTTTGTTGTCGTGCATTATAGCACAACGTGAGTGAATCAATTAACCAAAAATGTGTTCGGTTAATCAGATGCTGGCCATGACCACGATTTGCTTAGCAGCAATAGGACCTACGAAATCTTAGCTTTCAGTACTTTGGACAAGGACAACAAACAAACAAACTTTCTGATCTGATTTTGTAATACATAAGCCACGATTTGCAAATAGTTTATATAAGAAATTAGATAAAAATGATACACTGGCTTACATGATAAACACAAAAGTAAATAAAGAAACACAAGCGTACGATATGAGCGTATTTAATTATATACACATGTAGGCATTGTACGTGTGCGAAACTAATAATAATAAGTTGAAGTCAACATTTCCAACAACAATTATAGTTTTCATTAGCACATTTTTAACATTGAATCGCTGAATAGCCTTAGTAACTACAATTTTTTATAGTCATATTTTCATTGAAAACCAGTTTTGAACAGCGTGGAATTGTAAAAAAAAGACAACAACGGTAATTAATATCAAAAAAAAAAAAAAGAAAAAAAAAGCTGACCAAGATTTCAATTTCTTCATTTCTAGATAAGATGGAACAATTTGCATAATTGTGCCTTAGAACTGAAGGCCGCAGCTAATGCTTCCCGGAGTTGTTGTATTTAAATGACACGATAAAATAAGAAACCACGAGATGCGTAAATAAATAAATAGTTTTAAAATAAAAAAAGAAAAGAGAACATATGCAAATACACATATTTACAGAAATTTATACGATCAAGATATTATAGAACACGACAATGAAACGATGACGAGGAAAGAACAAGGTCACCAGTCAATAAAACGACAACACATTGTAGAAAGCGCAAGAATGGCAGGAAAAGAGAATTGGGAAGAAACCAAATTAAAAAGGAATCGATTTACGACTTATGCAATAAATTGTCATTACAAATTATTACAAAGCTATATCTATATCCATTGAATAAGACACGACGAAATTAATTAATGGAAAAGTGCATACATTTGCAAAATAACAATAACAAAAGTCGCTATGTTATGGAAAAGTTATGTTTTTTGTCATTTAATTCTTCTCATCACTTTAATGATAATAAATAAATAAATTTTTGCTGACCGACTGACCATCTATGTTTCAAAATGCATTTGCAAAAAAAGCAATTGTTACATAATTGCAAGAAGAAAACGTAAGAAAAATCGCTGACTTACGGAAATCAAACATTTTGCACTTACCACCCTTAGTTGGTATACGGTGAGTACTGTGCTGGGCACGATACCCGGTAATCATTTCATAGTCCCCGGAATCACGACGCAGTGGAAAAGCAATTTCGATGATATGGTCGCAGGGTTGCATAAGCATTAGAATACCTTTAACTTTCTTTCTCTTATCCTCGGCAGATAAACGACTTTTCATTTCACAAACAAGACTCTCTTCAGCAATTTGACAACCGCGATGGAAGAAATATTCTACCATATCAAAGAAACGCGGATCTTTGGCATCGGGAACGTGCTTGAGGCGTTCAGGTATTTGATGATCGGCATAGCCGCGACTCGGCATTGTAATGGTAGGTAAAACCTTGACCAAAGTGGCCACTTCTTGCTGGCGCACCGCGGCTTGACGAGCCAAATTTTTCAAATGATACATTTTTTATGGTAATTCTCACTCACAAGCACGCACACTAAGCCCCTAACTCTTTGTGGGCACACAAACACACAAGATTTTTATTTTGCAATTTAATGAAAATGCGTATTTTCAACGAACGCCCGAAGAGCTACCGTAAAACTGATAGAAAGTCCCTTTTGATTCGTTTAAGTCGAATGCTTTACTCGGTATTTAATAACAGCGAACATCAACAATTTAATAATGTGTTAATTAATGTGCACGGTTGCATAAAAATGCGACTATAAAACACGGTAAACTATTAAGTAAATACTGGAGAGCAATCCAATTAATGGAACCACGATATAATAATTGAAAATAAAATAAAAATTAATTCATTAAATAACATTAAAACAATATCTCTTTTCGACTTTATTCAGTACTAAAGTCAGCATCTCTGCGCTCGTATAGACGAGTAATCAACAATATTGCCACAAAAAAAGCGTTTTTACAATTAATAAGTGCTGCCTACATACAAAACGCAAATTCGCGGCTAAAATAATAAAGTACGAAAAACACCGAAAAAAATGATAACAAGAAAAATATAGACCGTGGACTCGAATTGTATAAGAATTTTATATTATTTGGAATTCAATGTGATTTTATTATCTAATTGAACGAAGAGAAGAAATATCATCACATGTGTAAATAGTTTCTCTGGATAAAATACTTTTTTCATGAACTTAGCAATCATACTCATAATAAGAAGAAATTTGTTTACTCTGCAACTCTACTTTAACGTCATTAATAAAGCCGGCATATGATCGCTAAATTTTATGAAAGCAAATTCCGTTTTTTCGCAATCGAAGGCACACGTTAATTCTCTTTCTGTGCAGAGGAGCACATTTTTGTGGCTTCCTTAGTATCGGGGTGATCATTTATAAAAAGTGATAAATTTTGTTACGCCGTAGAGCTCAACACTATTCGTGTCCTTCGCGGTCGTATCTCTAATTGCCCGTGTATTTTTTGGCTAAAAAGCTTAATGCCCTTGACGAGATTGTTGAATTTTAATAGGTGCGTTAAATTGATCAAATTGACAATATTTAGAAAGCGATTTTTGAACTTCAGCAACAGCAGATATAAATCCGATTTAACTTCTAAGCAGAAGGTAAGTTAACTGCGTATTTTTAAACTTTTATGAGCTTTACCTTGACTATTTTGCAGGTTATATAAAGAAGAAGAAATTTGTTTATGGGATAGGAAGTTAAATGTCACACCACATTATAATAATGGCGGCCATTAATTTTTACAAGTACTTTACCTTGTTGCATGTCCATTGTTCTTTGTTTTTCATTGTTTTTACGCCTATAAGTGCATTAGTTTAGCATTTCTATAAATAGCAGTCTATTCTTGGCAAAGTATATATGCTAACGTTTGCTGCATGTTGTTTTTGCCTCGACGATGACTTTAGCCTTAAATTTGTTTTCATTAAAGCTTTTGAATCTAGTGGATTCGCAGGACGGAAAAGATATGTGGACATAATTCATCTCATCTATTCAGAACTGTGAAAACCTAAAAGTTGTAAGTAAGGTTCTCTTTCGGAAATATTCGGTTTGAAATATGAACAATATAGGAAATACGATGTTCAATGGGTCTTGAGCGAAGTGGCTGTCGCTGTCGAATGAAATTAAATATAACGGACAAGCAAATAGTGCTTGGTATTATCATGAGAATAGGACAAAGTCGAATGTAAATTCTTTACGACTAGTAAGCTTTCCCCTAAATAATTAGTTTAGTTGACTTGTATTTAGCATAGGGGTAGGCTCGCCTGCAAGAAATTATTTAAATCAAATATATATGGCAACACGTGTACGGGAGAATGTTATTGGATATTAAGAAAAAGGCAGTGCCTTAAAATAATATCCTTTTAAAATTTCTTCTTACTGGGTTACTTATGCGTTTACTTTACTTATATGCGTTTCTATAAGGGATAGCCTTCTTGTTGTTACTGTTTGAAAGTCCGTGACATGGGGAATTGTACGAGCACTCAAACTTTCTCTTTTCTGGACCTTATTGCCTAACATAACACTGAACGGAATCGGCAAGAACGATATGGTACTGCGGCAGAGAAATCCTCAAATTCTCTCAAGTTTTTTTGTTATCATTTTACATTTTTGGGAAGCTGTCACATTCGCAGCCACCAGTTGCATGCAGATTCGACAGCTTGGCGAGAAAATAGACGGACAATACCTAAATACACAAATGTACAATGTACTGTTTCTTCTTTGCACTGCTTTACGGTTTGCAAAATTTTTAAAATTATAAATACCTATGTCGTTTAAATCATACATTGTCACTTTTCGGAGGTCTGCGATATATTCTTCTTCAAAGGCATCCACTTCTTGTTTTTTGTGGGAGGTACGCTTCTCATGCTTACTTCATGTTTTGTCAAGAAATTATTATTATTATCTTTCGCTCTCATGTAAACGTAGCCAGGCGAGTGTTGTAATCTATTGGCGGAGTATTGTGCTCTAATTCGAGCCGGGGGATATCTCTTTTTCGTTTAAAAATCTTGATTAACGAAAAGATTGTATACTTGTTTATCGTGCATAGTATATAGTCTTACGATAATGACGAGAAAATATTTGAGATAACGATGAAGCCGTTATTCCAACTAAGGTTTGCTATTCTTATTCACTTTTTTGTGACGGCGGAAATTATGTGGGCATAAGCTACTGTTAGATTTTGAGTATATCGACTTAATAGACTCTGTGCAAAATCTGAATGCTACCACTCGAATCAAGGCGGACAATATCTTGTCATTCATTAACTAACTGCATTGAGTAAATGTTTGTGCGAAATTCTCCACAAAAGCATATTCATCCTACACCGTGCGTAAGAACGTTAGTTGCTGACACTGAGGACTGTGAACTCGCAGAAGTTTTCTTCACACGCTTGCGTTATCTAAGACCTATACGTTTAAGGAATTATTTATGGTCTTTGTGTTGATAAGATAATGAAATGGATTATAAATTTAGTTATTCTTTAGACTGAGGTGATAAAATACGCATGTAATGACATTCGTATTCAATTCTCTCATCTATTATTGCCAAAATGTTGAGACGGAATACGGCACTAATTGATCATGTAAGACATTGATTTCGAAAATACCCTTTAACGATCTCATCCTGTATTGAAACATTTATTTAGATACTAAATTAGTTAATTAACTGCAATTTTATTATGATTTCACTTTCAGATGACGGTTGACTTAAAGTTTAATGCAAAGCTAACGCAGGCAGATCCCCATTTTAAGCCGGTTTTGATTATTGGTCAATTGCGCCATTTGAATATATTGAAGTTTAGTGATATAAAATTAAAATTAGAACCTCGTGTTACAGAAGAAACGTTTACAAAGGCAGTCGCTTGTTTGCATCCATCGCCTACAGATAAAATTTCCCTATACCTGGATGTCGCAAGTCTTGCCGCTGTTCCGCTGAAGTGTTCAAGACACAACACTCCTTCGCGGGCTCATGCTATTACTCGCCTAGTGAAGAACAATACTTTGAATGTGAACGAAGAAAATGTTGTAATCGTTTGCGAGCGATCGGACCTTTTTGCTAGCGCTTGCGCGGTGGTACGAGCTTTTCCTCTTTATTCCCGCAAAACTGCAAATAATCCAAATGCGAGAGTCACTAACAGTGACACGGACATCAAAAATGCGAATGATAACTTTGGGAAAACACTTGTAAATGTTGAATTCATTGTTGTTGAAAAGAACGGCACAATTGCTCGGAATGAATTGGATGCAGTTGACTTGAAATGTTTGCAGGAAGTTGAAAAAGCTATACGCCTAACAGCTCGGATCATTGATACACCCTGTAATGAAATGAATGTTGACAATTTCGTGGAGGAAATAAAACGCATCGCGAGAGAATTAAATTGCGAATCAACCATTATACGGGGTGAACAATTACGCGAACGTGGCTTTGGTGGTATATACGGTGTAGGCAAGGGGGCTGCTGTACCCCCAGCACTAGTACTTTTGTCGCATGAACCGAAAGGTGCGCAGGAAACAATTGCTCTTGTCGGCAAAGGTATTGTTTACGACACTGGTGGCCTCAGTATTAAAGGTAAAACAGCTATGCCCGGCATGAAACGTGACTGCGGTGGTGCCGCTGCTATATTGGGCGCTTTTTATGCCGCTGTAAAATGTGATTTCAAACAAAATTTACATGCTATCTTTTGTTTAGCTGAAAATTCAGTTGGTCCACTTGCAACGCGGTAAGTTATATTTATTCACCGATTTATTTCCATGAAAATTCTTATATACATTATAAGCACTTTTGCACTATGTGTTCTCAGCTCAAAGAAAATCTTTCTCGATAATTTGTACACTTTTGAAATTAAAATGATCGTTATGTCCTCGTTTCATGCTCTTTCATACATTCATGTCAACCGCTGAAGTACTGAGATGTACCATTCGTAACATTTAAAAAGGAAGTGTTAGGAACCGCCTGAAGTGGGTAAATTTCTAAATAGTTTAAGGTTTCGAAGGGATTTAGTTATGCTAACTTGTTCTTCCGAATTTCAATCCGTCTGCCTATAGTGTATTCATGCAACGTATATTGTGGCAAAAATCGAACCAAAATGGAGCATGAAAATAGATGCACATTTATGCATATCTGTACTCAACCAGTTATTGCCTGTTCAGTTGATGAACTTCTAATATTAAAGGAAACTTTAGATTTTTCTGTATGAAACTTCTTCTTAAACTGTTCTTCTTAACTTCCTCCGCGTTAGCAGTTTTTCTGTCTTCATCTCTTAACGTATGGTTTTCATTAATTCCTTTCATCCGCATTCTCACTTTTAGTTTAATATCAGGAAACGTCTAATTTTTTTCCAAAGCATGAAATTAATGACCATCAAATGTTAATATTGTGTAGCAAATGTTACTAAAGATCTATCATCATCACCTTCGCATTTGATGAAATGATGCAATAAAATTATTTGTTTATTATTTTTTTTTCTTTTCGGTAATGGAAACATTGCCTGTGCCAATATACACGTAAATACGTGTTCAAAATGTTCGCTTTGCAACAACATCAGACCCGATGACATACATACATTGTACTCGGGACGCACTGTTGAAATTAACAATACGGATGCCGAAGGACGTTTAGTTCTGGCTGATGGTGTTTGCTACGCTCAAAAAGACCTCAAAGCAAACATAATTTTGGACATGGCAACGTTAACTGGTGCTCAGGTAAGTCCATTGCCTTACACACTTTCTTAGGTATGGATGCGTATGAGTTATGTCTAGATTGAATTTCGATACACACGAATATTTTTCTCGTTAATTAAATCATTTTCTGATTACCATGAAAGTCGGCTACGAAGGACAGCTCGCAGCGACGTTCTATTTTCATTCAAAAAAGATGGACTGGCCCACGTGTCTCGAAGTCTCTTAAGCATCCGTGTACATGCTTGTGCAACTTCTTAGTCGATAGTCATTGTTATTCTAACATTGGGAAACAGACCGACGCTGAATCCATCCAGTCTATATTCAGCTCTCCGCCATTTTTGCTCTGTTGGCAAGTTTAGAAGAGCTTGCTCCAATAGTTTATTGCACATAATTATTCGAGAGAAAGAAAAGAAAAAAGTGGGCCAAGGGAGTAGGACCACTTTGTTTTAGAATGTAACGATGAAAATCGGAGTACATTTTTTTTTATCAACATCTCGTGTGTCTATATTTGGGAAGATTGATAGGGTTGTAATTTTATGCTTTTTCATTAGCTGCAGTTATTTGTCGCTCCCATCCCCAAAAGTACAAACATTAAAATAGAAGGCTTTCAAAGGAGGCTTAAGGGACTCTCAAGAAGGCAGTTTTTGGCTCAAGAATCCTTGAATCGTTGTCCTCTAAAAGCTCAGTGCACGTCAATCTATTAACCACGCCCATAGCATACAACTTTAAATTTGTCCCTGAGAATGATTTTCAATAGTCGCCATAAATGCACGGAAAAACTTTCTCTCTTTCTCATAAGTATCTATATATAGTGACGTTCGCTGTACCATTTGATACGTAATTCCAAACAATTAAATGATTAAAATTAAAAACATTTTTCTATGTAAACAGGTTAATGGGTTAAATAGCGTAAATTTCATTTGATATTCCGTTCTTCTGTGCTTTAGTATCTCCGTTTGTCGTTTTTTTTTTTTTTTTTTTTGCACATTTATCTCTCTATTCAGTCATTTCTATTATTCTATTAAAATGTCATTCCTGACTGGCTGACTGACTAACTGACTAACTGACTTGACTTGACTTTTGCATTCGAAATTAACAAAAATAATTACTTCTGATTGTTGAATTATAATATATAGTATAGAATCATTTTATACCGACTTTTGCAATTATCTCAAATAATTTGTTCTTCGTTCTTCTATTCACGTTTACTAAGCGTTTACAGCTAATGAAATTATTTACGCAAGAATCATAAAAGACAAAGACATCGTCAAATGCACACAAATTGACATGAAGCTGAATAAATTTCCGTCTGATGTTGTTTCATTCCTTTTATAAGTCATGCGCAAATTCTGAACAATACCCAATTTTTAATATAAGAAATGAATGAATGAATGAATGAATGAATGAATAAATGAATATAAAAGTGAAGTACATTCACGTAAATGCGACCGGGTGCACCCTAAAATATCGCGACATAGATTAGTGCATTCCATCATTGCATCAGTGGGTGTCGGTCGTCGTGCGCACTTTTGCTGCAATGTTATCGATTATCTCATTGATTAGTTTTGGGTGCTCTAAAGTAAAAGTTTACGATCGTTATTGTCAGAAACATTAAGGCCAACGGACCTTTTTGAAAAAAAACCAAACAAAGAACGATAACGCGTATTGGGGAATAGAGTGACAAAGATTGTGTGCGTATATATCAATGGTTTAGGCGACAGCAGAGCATTTCAGTCATCTTCGTAGGGCTATACTCGCTGGGGAAAACTTTCAAATACTGATTGGTGGAGTAATAATTGCAAACAATACCAATTTCATCTTGCCTTTTCAAGCCGCAGTAGAATGAAATTGTTGTTGATCTGACAAATTGGATGGTAGTGGGTGCACAAGATTCAACCTAAGCCGAACATAGCTTTCTTACTTGTTCGTTTCTCTTCTCATTGCAGGCTATTGCCACCGGCAAATACCACGGCGCCATATTGACAAATTCAGAGGAATGGGAAGTTAAGTCACTTGAAGCTGGTCGCAAATCTGGAGATTTATTGGCACCAATAATTTATTGCCCCGAATTGCATTTCCCTGAGTTTGCATCAGCGATTGCTGATATGAAGAATTCAGTTGCGGTAAGTAGACACATAAATATATGTAATATTGAGATAGATGCATGTACCCTTTACATGCACATATTCGCCCCAATACACGTTCATTCATTCATCTGCAGGCATACCTATGTCAGGTGAAATGCGTTTTTGCGGTTAGCCTAAATGCATGAACAATAGAGAGAAATGCACGCCAATCAGCAATTTGTTCCGTTCTGGTTTTTAAAATGTATCCTCAGTGTGTACTAGAAATAAATTTCCTGCAGTTTCCTATTGAGTAAAAAAACATTATTTATAACGTTAAAAATATTCAATTACAGAACCGAATAGAAATTTGTCATGTTTACAAGAGTGTTGCGTGTATGCGTTTGTATGCACACGTGCTTGCATCTGACGAGGTACACATTGACGTATGATTGATATTCAGTTGCATGGCATATATTTGCTAAAAAAAAAAAAAAAAAAAAAAAAAAAAAAAAATTTTTTTATTTTTATAACGCTCATCTAGAACTTACGAGTAAATTAATTTCATCATTCGGTTGGGCGTAGTAGGCCTCGAATGCATCCTTGATGTTGTTGCGGCCGGACGCACTTGAATTATTCTAATTAACTTCATTCGGATGTCCATTATCAAGTCGTCAAATTTTATTTGAAAACTCGAAACTTATTTCATCAACTAATCACACTAACCAAGTTTGAATATCCGTATAATTTGCAAATACGTTTAGTGGTGTCAGTGGTATTCAGATAGGCTGAAATATTTCATTTTCATATCACATGCTGTCACCTTCACAAAATGTGAAATGAATCAGTCTCATCTGAAAGGATAATTTTCTTAATATAAGATAATGATATTCAACGTTGCTTTCCCGTTATCCTTTCATGATAAAAATACAAACTTTACTGAGCGCAACTAGCAATGCATGACCGATTTTGATAATTAATCAACAACGACTGCGATGTCAAGAAAAAATCATCCCACTACACTATCGAAGAAAGTAAATTATGGCATCTATTTAAAATCTTTCGATTCTCGATAGATATATAAATATATATATATATTTGTGAAGTTTGTGCGAAAATCCTCTTACTTACTTTTGCATGCGTTGTTATTGTTGTGTATTGGAATTCCTTTGAAAATTGCAAATCTACTAAATTACAGCATTTTTAAGCCTGAGCTCTTTTTATTATCCTTCGTTATGTGGGTGTATGTGTGTTTGTGAGTGTGTAAAGATAAAAATCAACATGCATATGTATGCGGTCTTTTTTTGTGAGTATATCATGTCATAAATAGATAGATTTGACATTTGAAACACTTTATCAATTCCGTTTTTGACAAAGTGTCGTGTTTTTATTATTGTTGCTTCAGCTAACCGACGAACAATCGCTTTATTACTAACAAACGCAGACCGCCAACACAAGTGCACACACGAGAACACACACCTTTGCGTGTTCGTTGCACACGCAAAACCATACATAATGCATATATAAATCTGCGTGTGTTTGTAAAGTGAAATATTTTACATCTAACCGAAAGTTTTTACGTACACTTTTTGTTGTTTTGTTGTGTTTTTTTCTTTGCTTTTATTTGTTATAAACTCTCATTCATTTCATAGCTTTTATTGCTTTCATTGCTATTGTTGTTGTTATTGTTGTTATTTGGTCACTTCTAAAACTTACCTCATACTGAACAGTTTGTGTGCGAAAAAATCTTTCTATACTCACACTAACATATTTACATGACAAAGCATATGCACACGTATATATATACACACACACACACACACACACACACACACACACACACACACACACATACATATGTATTATTAGTGACACTTAACCTACGTCCCAAGTGCATCACTAGCATATGACAATGATAGACGACTATCGAATATCATTGTCTGAGTGAACTCACATGAATGAATGAAAGTGTTTTTCATGATGGTTACCATGACGATGGTATTGACATGGTTCGCACTGTTACGGTAGCAATGGAACCAAACGAAAACAGGATGTTTAGAAAATTGCTTAGGTGACCGCTAACGCTAACATGTCAAAAGAGCTTACGAAACATCTTTATACGCACATGCACCCTCATGAGTATGAGTATGATTTCGATGGCCATATTGATGAACAACAACCGTAAGAGCGATGTCGAAACGATGCGGCATTTGTGCTCGCTCGTTTTAAAAACTCTGCCTCACTTCTTGCTTTCATGCATATGTATATTAACTCGTATCATCAAGCTGTAGATTACCTTTTTCCCTGTCAATGTATTATCTGAAAATAAACTCAACTATAATTACATGTATGACATCCGATCAAAGGCTATTATGCGTCTATTCATGCGTTAATCAAAGTCATCATTATTACTCTTTCTTTAGTGATATCAGTCAAAAAACATTAAAGCTCTCTCTCTCTCTCTCTCTCTCTCTCTCTCGAAATTGTTCGCCAAAAAAAGGATTTTTCTAATTTCTCTCTCTTTCTCCGTTTGTAAATAATTATAGAATTTATTATATTGCAAATATAAAAGATTGTCTGAAGGCTTTACGACACAGGCACAGACACAGACACAGAAATAGTTATTTGTTTAAATAACAACTCGTGTAAAAATCGCCCACATTTAATAAAATATTTTCTAATTAAGATTTCTTAGAACGAGAGGAGATAGAGATGCTCTTCATTACGTCATCCGGATATATCTCGATTCGAAAACTATCGGCAATTTTTCAAACAATTGGTTTGCGTAAGCGTTTAGCAGCATGCCACAGCATGCTAGCCAGATAGCTGTAGCTCTATGTGCAAAAGTATCCAAATCTATGTCGTCTAAGATGCATAGCTTTTTCTTTTTCTCTTCGTTTTCTATTGCACTTTAATAGAAGATGAGATCAAAGGCGCCTTGTGTCCGTAGCTGGCTTATGCCTTTTTAATTATCTTCTCCTCATGTAATTACGGAACATGCCGTTTATCTCTTAACAGTTCTTTTCCGAGTAATGTTCCCTTTTTCAACGGCATTGCTGTTGATTAAAACATGACATATATGCATCTGTGTATCTCATAACAGATTTCAATTTCCAAAATTTCAATCACTTTTTCTTTTTTTTTTTTTTTTTTGTCGAATGAATAGCAAAGAAGATGTCCATTCACGCCTCCATCCTAAAAATGCTATCAAAGCACTATCAAAATTGGATAGTAATCACTTGTTGTGTTCCTTTGCCCTGCTCGAGTGCGTAAGATAGACGACAAAAAAGGTTGTCGTTGATTGGCGTCAAATTTTATTATTGCCGCAACTGAAATTGTTTTTGTGCATTGCGTCACGTTGTGACAACAGCACTGTACACGAAAAAGTGACCTTGTAACAGAAACACTATGTTTGATTTATTGTATATTTTGCACATATATATATTTTTCTCCATTCTTCCTGTTAATGTCATCAAGTTGTCGGTCTGTAGCGTGCGAGAAGCCACGAATGCTTTCCCGATTTCATGCATAGTCTGAAGAAGTCGTAAGCAAGCAAGCAAGCAAGCAAGCAAGGTGTTTAAGGTTCGTAGTCAACATTTGAATAATGATTTTGTTATTGTGTGTCGCCGCACTCTTTCTCCTGTTTTTCCCTTTGGAAAAGTGTAAATTGTATTTTCTGTTCTTTTCGCTTCGTTTCTATTATCGCCTTTAAGTGGAATTCTTTTGAAGATATCTCGTGGCATACATTTTGTACACTTTTGTGCTTGGAGTATACTTGAAATGCATTTTATTGAAAACGCGTATAATGGTGGAAATCACTTAAATCGATTTAAAGTGTTCCAGGCTGACATTTATGAAAGTGTCGCTTTATATTCTATTTTCTTCTTCACGCTTCTTACTTTTTTTTCCCCCCCCTTTCGGACCAGTAAATATTGATTTTGGAGATAGTCACTCTAAGCATCGTAGATATGAAAGGGAAAATTATTATTCATGCTATCAAGCAATAAAATTTCATTAAATGTTTAAAGAATGACGAATGAATTTTATTACACATTAAGGCATTACTTTACCTAATAGTTTAAATTTGAAATAGTCAGCCGTTCATGTTTAAAGCATGTTGAAACCGCATCTCTAAATAATATTCTAAATGAACTATTGCGGCCACTGCAGAGGTCGAATGCAAGGATGTCCTGCTATTCTTAACGAATACGAAGAGGAGCCGAGCAAGTATAATGTACTAACCGCTCCGATGCCTGTAGTCGTACATTTTGAAGAAGGAGCACAAGAGAAGAAAAAGTACGAGGCGCAAAGGATGAATTATTCGTTGATCAAAAAGCCCAAAGGCTTTTTCTCGATGCAAAAGTAGCACATATTTGCAACGTGCAATTTTTCTGCTGAATTTGAAGGCGATAGCTTTATTTTTGCGACCAGGAGAATGTTCATCGTGCTCGGTTTAGAATTTAATTCTGATCAAGAATATATCGACTTAGTGAGGAGGTATGTCTCTAAAGTTTCCTCATGAGTGTTGCAAACGTTTTAGCAAAATGAGTATATGAGTGAAGGGTTAAAAAAAATTCAAAAGTCATATTTTTTTACTTAAAAAATCAAATAAAATATAGAAAGAAGAAGAAGAAAGAAGATTACATGTAAAACCTTCAAACGGTTTGTGTGTAACATCCACAATAGAGTGAAGCACTGCTTCAAACTGCAATAAATCTGGAAAATCCATCTTTTTTGAAGAAATGTGAAGTTTCGCCAAGTAATTCTTAAAGTAGGTAGGCAGTAAGTTGGGTCACTGATCGCAAGTTAATCATTAATTGCGTGGTTGTGGGTACAATGAAATTTTCTGGAGAAAGTGAAACGCTTTTCCGGGGAACGCTTTTCCGCGGGAATGCTTTCCCTAAGACGACCGCTATCTAAGATGCTCTCTTTGGTAAACATTTGTGCCTGATGTTTTGGCTTTCCGGGAGGACTTGAATAGGGCATTAACAGCATGAATTTGGGAATTAGAGGACACTTAGTCGCAACTCTCGAAGGAAGGGTGTACTCGCGATAAAAAT